AGGTCCCTCCAAATTCCAGATGCAGGGGTGGGGGATCAGGAGACAGGCATCTAGTTGTCTCTTTGCTCCCAGAGGCATCTGGTGGGCCCACTGAGAGATCCAGGATGCTGGACTGAGATAGCCCCTTGGCCTAATCCAGCAGGGCTCCTCTTAGGTTCTTATGCGGTTTTACTATTTCCCCATGTGTGCAGATATGGGGAGAAAAATGTGTCTCATTTTCTATATTTTAGACACAGACTAGGTTTTAGCAAATAAAGTTTTGTGCAGCACAACAGCAGTTTAAGGAGACTCTTATGAGGAGCATAATTCTCTTGAATAATTGAAATATAACATCTATGTACAGCAGGGGTGAGCAACGTCTGTTGCCCCTGGGCTCAATTTTTGCTGCACAGGGCTATCTATAAGTTGCAAAGTCCACCTCCTTCTTCTTCCCAAAGTGACTAGAATTCTAATTCTGGTTTTCAAAAAGAGTTATTTTTGTGTGTGTGCATGTGCATAATTGCATGTGTGTTTGCGCATGCGCATGCTCAGTAATGCCAAAGGACGTGGTAGATTTTTTGTAAGGTAAATCCCTACACTTGGAAGAGCAGTTGTTCACATTCTTTTCACCAGGAATCTTGTAAAGTTTTAAATTTCTGGTCAAATTCCTTTGTGTGATGCAGTAGAAGTACAAAGATCCACAGAGCAGATGCGACGGGGTTTGTCACTAGGGTATGACAGTTCCTTGATTTTTGACAGGGGGAGGGGAAATGGAGGGATCGAGTTCTTTGGAATTGGAATGGAAATGTGATTAACAGCATTAATGGGTTTGTCAGCAACAACTTCTGCAGGGCGAACATGGCCAACATCTGTTGGTAACTCTGTCCATAAAAGGGACAAACTGTCACGGGAATCTTCCTTCCTCAGCAGGGAGATGGTCCGAACCTCTCTTGATCAGGCAAGTATTTTAAAGATTCGAGGTTCTCCTTCTTCTTCCTTCTCTTCTTCCCACACAACTACCTTCCTTGTTTCCCCAGACCAGGGAATAGATATTAAACCTGCACTGCATGGGGTTACACTCTCCCTGAAAACTAAGGCTTGTATTTTAGGACTCTTCCCTGAGGACTTGTGTGGGGCTGAAGGAGAAAAGGGACAGAGGAGGACAGAGGAGATGAAAATGGAAGGTGGAAATTCGGGAAAGACAGTGGAGGTGGGGAGAGTCTTATGTTTTTGGTGAAACTGCGGCATGAAGAGAAAGCGGGAACTGAGAAGAGGAAACGGCTGCTGAGGGTGAGTCGGGGAGGGGGATTCCGCCAGGGCTATGAGGGAAGCCATCATCACCACTAGCGCTGCCACCAACACCAACACCCCTCAAAGCGACTGGCGATGGGCACGGGGTGGAGGGGAAAGATGGAGGAGGAGGAGACCTCAGAGGAGTCAGTAACTGAAGGACCGATTGAGGTGGTGGGGTTGAGGTGGAGTGGCAACAGACTGAAAGGAGACCATACCTTCCAAGCCAGAAGGAAGCGGAGGGGAGAATAACTCCACAACAGGTGCACAAAGGCAGCCTCCAGGTAACAACAAACAGGGCTATCAGTCATTTCAGGAGCAGGAAAGGGGAGGGAAGCAATTTTTGCTGGTGAGCTGTAGGGCGAAATAGGAGGTAAAGGGAAGGAGAGATGTGTCAGTTCTCTGTCAAACTTGGTCATAAGCACCCACTGTGAGGTGTGTGTTTGTGTGTGTGGTTTTGGCACATGCCCATGGTGAGGGTAACAGCAGCGGTATGCCCAAACAGATACAGTGGTGCCCCGCATAGCGAGGTTAATCCGTTCCGGATTAACCGTCGATATGGTGAAACAGCGCTGTACGGAACGGAAAAACCCATTGGAACAAAGTTTAATGCGTTCCAATGGGCCCCAAACTCACCATTCAGCGAAGTTCCTCCATAGTGCAGGCATTTTCGCGACCTCGGTAAGCGAGGTCAGGGTGCGAAAACGCTGCGCGTGGCAATTTTGGGTGTTCCGGCGGCCATTTTGGAACCGCCGATCAGCTGTTCCCCCGACATCGCTATGCGAAAATCGGTAAGTGAAACGCTTACTGATCATCGCAAAGCGATTTTTGCCCATAGGGGCCATCGGTATGCGATCGTGTTTGCGATCGCAAAATCTGCATCGGTATGCGGATTTGTTGTTAAACTGTGCGCTCGTTATGCGAGGCACCACTGTACACTTATCCAGATGTCTTAATCATGTGAGAAGTAGCTGTGATAATATTTGAGGAGGGAGGCTAACCCTTGCCTTCCCTTAAAGAAGCTTTTTAGAAGTTTACTTGATTTTTGCTAGTTGAATTTTGTTAAGATACTAACTGCAATTTCTTATGAAATTTAACTTATGCTTTGCTTATGCAACAAACTGAATATCTCTAAATACTTTATTTTTCTAATAAAAATTATTCTTAAAATCCTTAAGATTGGTCTCTTGAACAGCAAGTCTGCTGAGCCTGCTTCCAGAAGAATAGTTCGGCCACAGAATGCTACAGAGTCCTTTTGTCTGAGCTTTGTTCATCCTGGCAGACTCCAAATCTCATGATTTTTCTCTTTTTTCTTTCTTACTTTAGTACAAGCAAGGATTTTCTTTAGAACAGACTTGTGGTAAGGGGTTTGTGTTACGTCCTGGCTGAGTCACCCGGACTCTGCTCAGCTAATTAGTACACTTACACCTGGACACTCTGTTCGGGAAGCGAGCAATCCTTCAGGGGAGCCTGTTTCTGACAATCTCCTCTACCTCTTTTCTCTGTTGGGTGGTAAGGGAGTGGCCCAGATTTAACGGGTTGGATTGGGGTGGCGCGCCATCTCTCATTGAGCTATTCAGCAGTTCAGTTGTTTATTGTTCTGTTGGGCACTTGGAAAGTTGTTTTTAAGGTAATTCGTTATGGATGTTGTTGTAACCCTCCTCCCCCAAAGTAATTTGTGTGAGTAAATGTTGCAAAGAGTGTTAGTTACTCATTATTTTCTGACTACTGTAAAACCCTTAGGACTGTGAAGTGATTGGGATAAAACTTGAAAATTCTCAAAATCTTCTGAAAAGATAATGTGAAAATGTTACATTAAACAAGTTTCGTTTGTAAAAGGTTGCTTTGGTCAACAGATTTTTACATTATTCTAACAATGCTCCTTGAAGTTAAAAAAACAATTTTAAACTGCTACAAAGCAATATACAACCCTAATTTGCTTCTCTATTTCCTTAATACAAAGTCTACTACCTACAGAATTTCTCTCTAACTTTGCTCAGCTTTTTCAAAAAAATTATTTTGAGACCAAAGTGGGTTGCTATCTTGAATTTAGAGTTCAGACAGCAGCAAAATCAATATTCCTTTCCTTTCAAACAAATACTCTATTATTCTACGATTCTCTGATTCTTCTGTTACAACTTGTAGCGAAACAGCTTACCGATCATCGTAAAGCAATTTTTTCCCATTAGAAACATCGCAATGCGATCGCAAAAAATTTGTCGCTATGCGGATTCGTCGTTAAACGGGGCACCACTGTATACAATTTTGGTTTTATCAATATATTTTAAATCATCCAGAACTCCAGGTGATGCAGGAGGTAACAGTGTTATTTCTTTTAAATCATAACTCAAGAACCCTTTGCCCAAACATTCCCAAATGTGGCACAGAGCAAGAGCAGACTTTCTGCTATATCTGTCCCAGATTTGGTGCTGATTCAAGGTTCAGTTTCATAGTCATAATTTTTTGTTTGAGGCACCCATATTTTTGAACTGTCTTATGGAATGCTGAATCCTGCTGTGAGCACATACAGTCTCGAGCTGTATCTAAAATATCTGAAAGAGACAAGGAGGACACAATAGAATCCTGTTACTTAGCGTAGTGCTAGAGTAGGCCCACTGAATTAGTTTCTGTTGAGACAACGCCTCAAAAAAATCCATTTGATTCAGTGGGTCTACTCTAGTTGAAACTTGCAAAGTAGACCCACTGAAATAAATAGAATTTACAGAGGAGCTGACTCACCAAATCCCCACTGATTCAGGGGACCCAACCCAACACAGCTTACCATGTTTAGCAATAGGATTTCAAGGGAGGCTCAGCTCACTAAACTAAACTGTGGTCAAATATAGTAAATAATTTCACCAGAATGGATCAATGCAACAGAAATGCTGAATGAGCATCTTTCTTTACTCTCTTGCGTGTAAAAGGGCATAAAAGATCTTCAAACTAATAAAGCTTCACCCTTTTGAAAGGTAAGCAGTGGCAACCATTAAAAACAGAAATAAACAAAATGTAGAAGTCAAATATATTTTTAATAACAGTCTTTGAAATCCAAGGAGGAGAGGTGACAGATGCATGCTGGCAATTAATAATTAATATTACGGCAATGCCGAACATTAATAATACAGCAATGCATACTTATCTTAAGCTTGTATACTTCCTGATAAAACTAATATGAAAATATTGCAGAAACATTTTGACATGGAATACTCAATTATAAGCAAACTATAATTTTTAAAAAACATTCTATAGAAAATATGATGCAAAATTGTTATAGACACAGAGTGTTTTATTCAACTGAACATCAATGCTGTCAGACTCTACGAAGGCAGGTATATGGCTCACACAAGGCATTCACCAGAGAATAATGTGGTGGCAGATGTTTTCTGTAGTTCAGATCCAGGATGAGTTCTCACTACAATTAAAGGCTTTCTTGCTGTGGAGCCTGTCCTAAATACATACAAATACAAAAGAACTTAGTTACTTTATTAACATTTTACATTTATAAAAGCACAAAGTTTGCATAAGGAATGCAGAGAAGGTTATATGTCAGTAGGGTGTTAAAGGGATTAAGAAAACATGTTTGGGGTTACCCAGTGTTGTGCAGTAGATAGAACAACTGACAAAGACCCAGGAGACTCATGTTTGAATCCCTGCTCAGCCATGGAAACTCACTGGGGCAGACTGGAACTGGTAAAATCACCCCATAAGTGTCTCACTTACCTTGAAAGAGTTGGTATAAATTAATTCCAACATGATAGCACATAACAAACATAGGGTCTTAAGACAGCGGTGAATGATCTGATAGCTGCCTGGTAAAAAAGATGTCAGTGGAACTCCTAGTCACTTCCTTTGGCTTATCTTCAGTTCTTTAATCATTAACTCACCTTGTTTATATGTCCAATGTTTTCAGCAGTAATGTTAATGTAATATTGAAGTTCTTTATCTTAATTGTTCTGATTCAGGAAATCTTCAATATAAGTAGGTACTTCTGATTAATCTACAGGATTAAGTCACAAAATACTCAATCTGACTGAAGTTTTCCTGAATCAGTTAGGTTACTTAAAACTGGAAACATTACCGTTTTAGATAAAACAAATGGTAAAAAAAACACTATATAAGTGGCAAATAAGTGTAAACTGGGTGTATTATGTATAAAATAGTTATAGATAAGTATGTGGGAGCAACACCACATGTTTTTCAGTAGCAGATGATGACTTTTCTTCTTTTGGTCATTTAAAAAAACCTGTAGTGCCTCAAAAATTGGCGGGGGTGCCTGATACCTCTCATTTAATTAGTTATATGAAGGTCCTGTTTGAATTCAATACACACATTAAAAATCTAATTCATAGTATTTTTAAAACTTGGTGCATGGAACGCTAGCAAGCTTCTTTTCCTATGTAAAAGACCAAGCTAAATCTGGTTTAAGCCAAGCAATTTTATATAATAGTTGTGTACCAATTAACAGCTATGTTCTAATATTTTTTTAAAAATTAATTAAATGTTTAAACTAAACACATCAATAAAATATAACATAAAATTTGCATTCTATCCACACAAATTAGATACAAAATAATAATAATAACACAAAACGTAGTGCTCCCTAATGGGGACCATTCTATCTTACTTAATATTTTATCTTATCCACCTTAAATCCATCATTTAATTGTCTCTATATCTCTTCCAAAAATACATATAACCTTGCTTTGGCTTTTTCCCTTTCCTTTTCTTCAGAGGAGGGCGACAAGATGATCAGGGGGCTGGAAACCAAGACTTGAGAAAAGAAGACTGAGGGGTGATATGATAGCATTTTCCAAATATTTGAAAGGCTGTCATAAAGAAGAGGGGCAAGATCTGCTCTTGATCATCCCGGGGTGCAGGACACGCAACAATGGGCTCAAGTTAAAGGAAGCCAGATTTCGGTTGAATATCAGGAAAAACTTCCTGTTAGAGCAGTATGACAGTGGAACCAGTTACCTTGGGAGTTGGTGAGTGCTTAAGAAAAACTTAAATATGTACCTGGCAGATATGCTTTGATTATATTCCTGCATTGAGCAGGGGGTTGGACTTGATGGCCTCGTAGGCCCCTTCCAACTTAACTTTTCTAAGATTTTATGATTACTCAATACAGCATTTATAAATTAATCCCATATCTTGTTAAATCTATTTGTCTTTAAATCTCCTTTTTTGAACTTAATTTCTGAAGCCAATTAATAGCAATATTCCAAATTTTGTTATAGCATTCATGCAATTGGAAAACCCAATTTTGCTTCTAGGTTTCTGCAATGAGCAGTCATGCAGCTATTAACATTCATCACCATATCTTTTTTACATTACTTATATCATCATTTTCTATTAAAAACAATGTTTTTGTTGACATTTCAAGATTCCAGTATTTCTCTAATCTCTTTACACCACTCCTTTTATACCACTTCACAATTCCACCATAAACACACATATGTTCCCAATTCTTTATCACATCTCCAACATTTCTTAGAATATTTAGCATCTATAATATTTAGTTTTACTGAAGTACCATCTCCATATGGTTTTATACCCATTTATTTTATTCTAATTGGCATATTTTTAAAAACCCTTTTATTCCAGATTTACATCTCTCATATTGTTTTTAACTCTTCTAATTGATCTTCTTCTTCCATCAAACATCTGTACAGTATACCCATTCTTACTTTCTCCTTCCTTTCCCCCTTCACATTCTCCATATTCTTTATAATATTTTTAGTTTTGTGAATTTGCTCTATTTTATCTAGCATGCAGCATCTTCTCTCTTCTTTTTATGTAATCCATGAATTAATTCTATGTGCAGTAATGGATTGGACAATCACCAGTAAACTCAAATTCGAATCCAGATAATGCTGTAGGATACTGTTAGTGGTGTTTCACCTATTTTGAAGGAGGCCTGCCAAAACAACCAATTCATAGGTGCTCTTTGATCTATCATTGATGTGGAGCAATAGCTTAGCTGTAATTAATCATGTCTTGTAACTTCATATTTGCATTACTATGATACATGGGCTGCCTTTTGAGAACAGCCCTGAGATTTCAGTTGGTGCAAAAGAGGGCCATGAGATTGTTAAACAGCAACTAAATTATACAATCATAATATTATCAGTACAGTATGATCTGCACTAGCTTTCAGTTTATTTCTGGGTCCAGTTCACCAATCCAATATGAAATTTCAAAGTCCTGAATATCTAGGGACCAGAATACCTGAGGGATTGTTTTCTCCAACATGTACTGGCCCAGACCAATGATAATCTTCAGATGACTTTTTCAAACAAGTGAATCTATTTGAGGCACATAGCTGCTAAAGAATCAGAGAAGTGTAAGCCTAGAAGGGCCCCCAATAATTATTCTGTTAAACCCATGCCAAAACAGGGAGATGTCGCTTTTACTGGTGGCACCTTATCTGTAGAATGGCTTTCTGAGACAGAAGAACTTCACACCTATGTTGTAATCCTTTTGTACCAGATGAAGCTTTTTCTAAATCTGAGGCTTTTCAGTTTTAAAGACATATTCAATGCTTTCAAGATGTTAGATATTACTGTTTCTGGCTTTATTTTGATGCTTTTTAAAAAAAGTTTATTCTGTGTTTTAATGGGTTGGCATTTTTTTAGTCTATATTTTTATTTTTAGGGTTGTATATTGTTCTCGGAACTGCCTACACAGTTTACAGTTATCAAGTGGTACACATTTAGAATATATATTTGAATTGCATTTTAATTATTTTGCCCTTTTATTTTGCCTTTTTATTGTATTTTAAATGCTATAAGCCGCCCAGAGACCTTCGGGTAGTGTGGGTGGCATATAAGTTAAACAAACAAACAAACAAACAAACAACAGTGGTTGGAACTTATCTAAAAATTGCCATCAGGACCCACAGTTGATATTATTTCAATTAGGTCAAAACCAGGTCAAAACCTTCCTGTTCTGGAAGATTTTTCAATTAAAAATCTTCCGGAACAGGAAGGTTTTGACTTGGCGCTGAAAGGTCATCAATGTCAGTGCCAGATGAATCTCACTCAAGATGGCTTTCCATAGTCTGGGGGCAGCTGCCAAAGAGACCCTTTGTCTACAAGCCATGCCTCTTACCTCTTTGAAGGATGGCTCTTTCAGGAGGACCCCTGGCTAGATTCTAATTGCTGAGTAGGTTTATATGGAAGGAAAAGGTCCTTCAGGTACCCAGGGCCCAAGCTGTTTAAGGCTTTAATTCACACTAATGGGTTTAATCTGCACCTGTGCAGAGGTCTCAGAAATATTCTAGAGCTTTATGCTACGTTTGTTAAGGACCAGCCCCCAGCCCACGAGGCCCGCCTGCCCTTGCAATCACCTCAGTTCCTAAGAACAGCCCGCCACTGCATCAAAAGATACCGAAGTGACAGGCAGAGGGGAGGACCGGCGGCAAGTATGAATTCACAGATGACCACTTGAAGAACCAGAGTTACAGGTAAGTAGCCTCTCGTTCTTCGTCACACTAATGGGTGACTGATAAGCTTACCTTAAAGGTGGAGGGACGTCATGGTAGGATTGATGAAAGGACTGTTCTTCCAAACGAAGCATCTTTTTTGGCCCTCAAATCCAGTTTATAGTGAGAGGCAAACGTGGAAGGCATTGCCCATGGGCAGCTTTGCAAATGTCTGGGAGTGGGACTCCCCGAAGGAAGGCTATGGAAGTAGCTGTCGCTTTAGCAGAATGGGCTTTAATACCCGTAGGCAGTGGCTGCTTAGCAAGCTGGTATGCCAATGTTATGGTAGAAACTATCCCGGGGGAGATAATCTGGGAAGAAACATGAGAGCCCCTGTAAGGGGTGTGTGGTGATATAAATAGTCTTTTTGATTTCCAAAAGGAAGACATCCTGGGGACATAAAAGGCCAAAGCTCTTCTGGTGTCCAACGTGTGTAAGCATTTCTCTAAATCTTTTGAAGGCGAGTGAAAAAAGGTGGATAGGATTATAGGCTGAGAAAGGTGGAAGTGAGAGACGACCTTGGGTAGAAAGGAGATGTCTGGGAATAGAGTAACTTTGTCAGGATGGAACTGAAGAAATGGAGGGTCAGATCTCAGTGCTGCAAGTTTGGAGGCCCTGCGGGTGGACGTGATGGCAACAAGGAAAAGTGTCTTGAGAAAGAGAAGATATTCTGAAGTAGTAGTAAGTGGCTCAAATGGAGGGTGAGAAAGCCAGTGGAGAACAAGAGATAGAGACCATTGTGGGGTAGATGGAGGAACAGCTGGGCACATGTTGGCAACACTCCGTAGAAAGCGTTTGAATGTAGGGTGTTTGAAGATCATGGCAACTTCCGAATCTTGAGGCTGGTATGCAGTTATGGCTGACAAATAAACCTTAAGGGTTGAAAGAGCCAGTTGATTGTGAAACAGATAGGAAAGAAACTGCAGGACTGATTGTAAATCTGTAGGGTTAGTAGGAAGATTAT